ACCTATTCCTTCCCCACCCCCTTTAAAAGCCTATGGCTCATTTCTAGCCCTTGGATCTGTTGTGGGTATAATCCCACCGTCGATCCCTTTAATTGGGGTAAGGCTCTGTCTATGTACACCTCCCACCCCCCATCCTAGTCCTTATGCAGCGTGAGTCCAGAAGTGTATTGGTCTCCATTATATATCCCGCCGATGCTGTATCTTTCACTCCATACCTCCATCGATCTCTCTCCCCACCCCTATCCATCGATTCCATATATCTTCCACCACCTTATGTTACATGAAGGAGAGGGAGAGGAGGCAGAGAGAGGGGAAAAAAAAGGGACCACAAGGGGAAAACCTAGAATTGAACTCCAAATTAGGTTCCTATTAGACTCCAACTATTAAATAGTTCCTAACTATATAGTGTCTCAAAGGTGCTGTCTTATTCTATTCTTCACATCTCTGTTGCCTTCACATCTCTTTTTTTAGATATTAAGTGCCATTTCTCTTCTTCCTGTCCCCTCTTCTCCCTTATCTCATCAGTCCACCCTGGGATTTCTGGCATTTGCAGTTCTAATTTTTCACAAAAGACCTGGAGATCTTCAGGGAACCTCACCCTGACTGAACGTCCATCTCACCAGACATGCTGGAAAGGCCCAGCTGTATCTGATACTTTTTTTTCCGCATCTGCTCTAGCAATGGTCTCAGGGATCTCCTTCTTGCTAGTGTTTCCGGTGCTATATCTGCATAGATTTGCAGGGTCTCTCCTTCATATTTTATTGAGGGGATCCCTCTCATTTTCTCCCAGATCTTTACTTTGTCTTTATAGTAGTGGAATCGCACATCCCTTGGGGTTTCTATAGTCACTCCTTGAGGTCTTTTTATCTTGTGAACTCTGTCCATTTTCAGTTGCTCTGTTATGGATCTGTTATTGAATTTAAGAACTTATTCATTACAACTCTTAAATCTTCCCCCTGGGACGTTTCGGGTAACCCGCGAATCCTGAGATTGTTCTTTCTATTTTTATTTTCCTAATCTTCTATCTTATATAGCAATTGCCTTTTGTTCACATCGCATTTTCTCCATTTGTCCCTTCAGCTCAGTTAGTACTTGAGCATGCTTGTCCAATTTATCCTCAGTATCTTCCACTTGGGCCAAAACCTGTCCCAGGTCCTTATGCAGGATTGCCATGTCATTCTTTATCGACAATTCTAATTTTGCGAACATGTCTACCATTTCCATCTTTGTGGGCATTTGTGAGCTTCCTCCTTGTTCTTCCATACGTCTTTTTTTTTTTTTTCCCCCTCACACTCCTACATTTAAAACCTCTTTACATTGGTTTAAATCAGTTGTTTCCAATAAAAATCTGGATTGGTCTCCACTATTATTTTCTATTTCTTCCACTAGCTTCCCAGTGTCTCTCCAGGGTTACACCCCCTGGACTCTTCTCCTGCTGGGGCATATATTTTTTAATTGTACTCATGCTTGTTTTTTAGCGGTCTTTACCCCTCCTCCTTTCACCGATCTGCTCTTCATATTGCTGTTTGTTTATAAGATATGTTCTTATTTCTTTTGTATTTTTGTCCTCCGTACAGTCCCCCCAAAGACCCAGTATTCTATTACTTCCTACTTTTCTCCTTAATACTGTTGTCCTCTTTCTTCCGTGTGTCTTTCTTGTCCTCCGGCTCTTCCTCCTTACTGGTCTTGTCTTTAAGCCCACTCCACAGAGCAGGCTCCACACCGGTCAAACCGAGGGGGCCCCCCCAACAGCCAGCGACACAACCGGAACACCACACCCAGATCAAGAGGTATGTCTGTACTGTGTCTCTCGGCGGTTCACAGAGCTCCTAACGCTGCTGGCCAGCGCCATGTTCAGACCACACCTTCCTGTTCTAGACAGATACCTCAAGCCTCTGGTTTTGCCATAAGGTGCTACAAGCAGCTGCATAGTAAAGGTCCTATACCTTGGTATGTTTTTTTTTTTTGGGCTGCTTGGCATTTGTTTGCTCTGTTGTTTTCCACCTCTCCTTTTTTATGTATTCTTTTTGGATGTCCCAGTCGCCTTTTGAGTAAGCCTGTGTATGGAAGAAAAAAAACCCAGCAGATTTTACTTACCTGTAAAATCTGGATAACTGTCAGGTTATTTGCAAAATGCTATAAAATGTTGGTCAAGCAGGCTCCACTCACATCCTGAGTGACTTTTGCCACAAGCCAAGATCATTTAGAGCCTGGCCCCACCCCACCAGTGACTAATTCTATCCTAGATTCAAGGTCAGTAATAAAGATTTGGGTAGAGAACCATTGCTGTTCCTGTATAAACTCAGAATGGCACTCTCAAAATTCACATGCCGGAAGGCAAACCCACCCAGTGGTCATAAACATTTTTCATTGTACTACTTAACCTCTTTCTCACCCTTTCAGCAAAACCTAGATTAAGATTGTGTTTTTAGCTGGGTACAATCTCTGAAAGAACCAATCACAGATTATAGAAACAACTGGTGTAACATCTATACTATGCTGTATTCTGAAAATTAGTGACATTGAGCCAACATTATTGCCACCCAGATGCCAGATGATAACATTCCAGGAGGGCCAAATACAAATAGCAGAATACAGGATAACAAATATTCCCATCAAAAAACTCATACACGGATAACATGAAATGCTTCCAGGGATAAGGGTTCTGTATAAATTCCATTCATTGCTCTCTTGTGTGCCAACTATACTTGATCCTAGAGGGGCTGGTACCCACTCTGGTAGGAGAGCCGAAAAAAGAACGAACGGAAGGCTTTGAATGGCGCTATATTTATACATGTGGTAGCAGATCTTTTACTGTAGATGAGAGATTTTCACTCTAAACAGAGATATAACTATAAAGTGGCCTAGTTAGAGCAGTTGATCTGTAACTTTGTAGTAAATCTGTACACTCATATGCATATGTTTGTCAATGGAATTTGCAAAAGACATTAAGTATCAGTGTGCACTCCTGAATAATTGTAGGGCCACCCTATACTGTTCTCGTTAAATGCTCAAATGCTGCTCTGCCTGTGAACAATTTTGGGTATCTACTTTTATTTTTCAGAGTGAAATGCCTTTTAAGACTTGATGTATTTGGTGTCTATTTAAAGGATAAGTTTACCTTTTTTGTAACATGTTACTTTGGAGCAGTCTCCAGCACTCCTTCCCAATTATCCCCTCGTTTTCCCATGACAGCAAGTGGGGGATCCTCCCCCACATTTTGAAAACCGAGCGGCTCCTCTTCCGCAGCCACATCATTCATTCGTGTGAATGGATGCATTTCAAGTTTCGTCTGCCACCAGTGATGGTGAGCACCCTCATAGTTCCCTGACTCTTCCTGCAATTCAGTAACTGTCTGCCTGACTTGTTTGCTGCAGTTAATATGTACAATTCCTCCCTGCCATTGAAAGCCCAGCTCCAGGAATTAAACAAAATCCACCCTTGCAGTGTGCATACCCCACACTGCAAGGGTGAATTGCTCTTTAGGTTTAGGGTGAACTGAACAGGCTACTTTAGGGATTTTAACCTTGCCAGGAGTGCCTAAAAGAGACCGCTTCAATAGAGCTGTCAAACAGATGGAGGGAGCCTACGGAAGCGAGGGGTAGGGTAAATATTATTCTTTGAATTGAACCCCTAGTCTAAATAGTTATCCTGTGCAGTGGGAGCTCCAGATTGTCTGTCTAATGTTGACCTCTAAGGGCCTCAAGACAGACATATCCTTGGTCAGGCAGGACATGCATAAGCTGCAGGACCACACTTCTGCATTTGAGGGTAGAGCTAGCACTATGAAAGATGAATAATGACATTAACAAAAACCATGGACTTTATAGGCACAGAAAGACAAGTTTTTATGTAAAATACAAATCAACTTTAGTAATACATAGTTAGAAACACTGAAAAAGATTCTGAACACTTGTTCAAGTTATTGAGCCATCCAGCTTTCAATATCATAACATTTGTCCTTCAATTAACAGCTCGACGTTTCACAGGGAACTGCTTCTTCAGCACTCTCTGTGGAATGGCGCATACTGTGGGGCTGGACCTTTCATACCACATATAGTGGCTTAGATTACATTGTCCTGACACCTGAAAGAGGAATTGAAAGGGCCCTTGCAATGTATCAACTTTTGGAATTGAAGGCTCTATGAGTGGATAAGTTAAGGATCCTCTTCAATTGCAATGTGGAGTGATTGTTACATACCTATATTATTAATTTGATACCCAGTTTGATATTATGTCTTATGTTGTGGGTGAATAGCCTATAACCCCTGGCAAAAAATATGGAATCACCATTCTTGGAAAATGTTCATTCAGTTGTTTAATTGTGTAGAAAAAAAAAATAATCACAGACATGTCTCAAAACTATCCAACCTTCTGGCTTTTAACCACTTCAAGTCCAGACACTTTTACCCCTTTCCAGTCAATTTTCACCTTTCAGCACGATCACACTGAGTGACAATTAGTCATGCAACACTGTACCCTTATGAAATTTTTATCCTTTTTTGAGACAGGGCTTTCTTTTGTTGGTATTTGATCACCACTGGGTTTTTATTTTTTGCGATATAAATGAAAAAAATACTGAAAATTTTGAAGAAAAAATAATTTTTTTGCTTAGTTTTTGTTCTAAAATTTTTTAGATGATAATCTTTCCTCATAAATTTAGGCCAGATGTATTTTGCTACATTTTTGGGGTAAAAATACCCAAAACAGTTTTATATTATTTAGTCTGTGTGACAGTTATACAGTCTACAAACTATGTTATATATATATATATATATATATATATATATATATATATATATGATTGATCAGTTCAGATCCTAAAATGCCAGACGCTGGTATGGCATATGGCAGTGATCAGAACGCTGGTATGGGGTATGTTGATGATCAGGACATTCGCATGAGGTATGATCAGGATGCTGGTATGACAGTAGCCATAACGCGGTTAGGGGGTGATCAAGATGCTGGTATAGGGTATGGCGGTGATCAAAACGCTGGTGTGGGGTATGGCAGTGATCAGAACACTGATATAGGGTATGGGGGTGATCAGGGTGCTTATAGGGTATGGGGGGTGATCAGGGTGCTTGTATGGGGTATGGCGGCGATCAGGGTGCTGGTATGGGGGGTATGGCGGCAATCAGGGTGCTGGTATAGCGGTGATCAGGACGCTGGTATGGGGGATATGGTGGTGATCAGGACGCTAGTATGGGGGATATGGCGGTGATCAGGATGCAGGTATGGCGGTGATCAGGATGCAGGTATGGCGGTGATCAGGACGCTGGTATGGGGGTATGGTGGTTATCAGGACGCTGTTATGGGGGTATGGCGGTTATCAGGACGCTGGTATGGGGGTATGGCGGTGATCAGGACGCTGGTTTGGAGGTATGGCGGTGATCAGGATGCTGGTATGGGGGGTATGGCGGTGATCAGGGCTCTGGTAAGGCGGTGATCAGGACACTGGTAAGGCGGTGATCAGGACGCTGGTATTGGGGTATGGCGGTGATCAGGATGCTGGTATGGGGGGTATGGCGGTGATCAGGGCTCTGGTAAGGCGGTGATCAGGAAGCTGGTAAGGCGGTGATCAGGACGCTGGTATTGGGGTATGGCGGTGATCAAGACGCTGGTATTGAGGTATGGCGGTGCTCAGGACGCTAGTATTGGGGTATGACGGTGCTCAGGACGCTGGTATTGGGGTCTGGCGGTGCTCAGGACTCTGGTATTGGGGTATGGCGGTGCTCAGGATGCTGGTATGGAGTATGGCGGTGATCAGGGCGCAAGTATGGTGGTGATCAGGACGCTAGTATGGGTTATGGCGGTGATCAGGACGCTGGTATGGGTTATGGCGGTGATCAGGACGCTGGTATTGGGGTATGGCGGTGCTCAGGATGCTGGTATTGGGGTATGGCGGTGATCAGGACGCTGGTATGGGGTATGGCGGTGATCAGGACGCTGGTATGGGGTATGGCGGTGATCAGGACACGGCTATGGCGATGATCAGGGCGCAAGTATGGTGGTGATCAGGACGCTGGTATGGGTTATGGCGGTGATCAGGCTGCTGGTATGGTGGTGATCAGGGTGTTGGTTTGGGGTATGGCAGCGATCAGGGTGTTGGTTTGGGGTATGGCGGTGATCAGGACACTAGTATGGCAGTGATAAGGACATTCGTATGGTGTATGGGGGTGGTTTGTGGGCACTGGGACAGGTAACGGGCTGGCTGCATTATTTATTCTGGACGTGGGGCATAGATCAGGGACACATGGGACACTAATTTATGGCACTGGGGTGGCTTGCACTGCAGTGTGTAAGTGTACAAGCAGCCTGATGGGCTCACGCCGAGAGCAGAGAGAAGCGATCTTTACTTTCAATTTCATTGTTTACTATGTGACTGCTCTGGTCACAGCAGTCACATGGGAAAACATTGCTTGAAACACAGCGGTAATGTCCAGGCGACACACTGATCACCGGGCTCCGGGGTGCGTATTCTGTGAGCCGCCCACGATCTATCAATGTGGGCTGACGTTCAGAAACATCAGCCTGCATCTGCGCCGCTTCCTGTCCGCTGTCTGTGGGCAGACGGGAAGAGGTTAAGAAACACTTTAAAAAAAAAAAAAAACTGTAGTCAATTGCAACTGTTTTTGCAGCAGCTTAAGCAGGGAAAAAATATTATGCAATGTATTTTGCAGTTCTAAAACAAACGTCTGCACCAGATTACATCTGTTTATTAGTCTACAGTTAAAAAAAGAGTGCTTGCACACCAAGGTGAGCTGTTGCACCAAGCTGATTGACATGAATCATGGCTCCAGCATGAGAAATGTCAGTTGAAACAAAGGAGAGGATTATAAAACTTCTTCAAGAAGGTAAATCATCACTGAATATTGCAAAAGATGTTGGTTGTTCCCAGTCAGCTGCGGCTAAAATCTAGACCAAGTACAAATCCAATGGGAAGGTTGTAAAAGGGAAGCGTACTGTTAGACCAAGGAAGACATCAAAGCGTCAAGATAGAAAACTTAAAGCAATATGCCTTGAAAACAGAAAATGCACAAAACAAATGAGGAACAAAGGGAGCAGAAAGTCAGTGTCTGTGACCAAACTGCAAAACATTGCCTAAAGGAAATGGGATTTACATACAGAAAAGCAAAACCATTATTAACACCTAAACAGAAAAAAAGGTTATAGTGGGCTAAAGAAAGGTACGGGGGAGATAAGTCATTAAATCTTCAATAAATGCACAAGTTTATATTGAGATCTTGAACACTTTTCTTATTCCAACAATTGAAAGGATGTTTGGTGATGATGACATCATTTTTCAGGATGATAATGCATCTTGTCATAGGGCAAAAGCTGTGAAATCTTTCCCTCAAGAAAGACATATTGACCCTGATTTACTAAGAATTGAGTCTACCAGCAGACACTGAACATTCAGGCAGACTCAATTCAATCAGTCTAGACCTGTCAGTCTGTAGAAAGGCGTCTAGCAAACTCATTGTAAAGAGTCTACTTGTAGACTCTTTTCCTGTTAGTAAATCCGGAATCACGTCTAGCATATTTCTAGATGCAATACCGGATATGTTCACTAGGTGGCGGACAACCACAGGCTTTGTCCCGTTGGCATTTTCTGTTTGCATATGAGAATACTTATAATTTAAAATAAAAAGTACACCTATATTTAATATATTTTTTTTTTTTTTGGGTTGCTGTTTCTCCAAAATGATAAGATAACTAATGCATTTCCTAATGAATGTCATACATTCTATTTTCAAATGTCAAACATTTTCACACTTATATCTCAAATAGTTGGGAATGTCTAGTTCTAATTTCCCAATATAATTCTATATCTTCATTCTCTTTAATCATGTAACTATTCTATGTTAAAGTAATAGTGCAGCACTGTAAATGCATGTTATCAATCATAAACGCATGTAAAATCAAAAAAGTGCAAATAAGTGCAATAACTATGTAAATTGGTAAATGGTGCTAAAAAAATTTCACATAATCATTACTGAATAATGGAATGTCCTTCGTGTGAGAGTACCAACTCAGAGAGTGCCTATTATGGCACGTGTGGTTTATCCGTGATGGACAGTAGTGCATGGACTCATGAAAGGTAATCCACCCTTGGGAGGGGTGTACACTCACCAGAACAAAAGTATTAATGCGCATGGGTTATACACATCACACATCTGGGGGTGCAGCAGTATGCTGCCAGCTATGGATTAGTCATCCAACTCCATCCATCAGGGTGAGTGGCGGTGGCGTGAGCAATAGGGCTCCGTCCAATGCGTTTCGTGTACCAACACGTCCTCAGGGGCACACCAGTAGGACGTGTTGGTACACGAAATGCATTGGGTGGAGCCCTATTGCTGACACCACGCCGCCGCCATTGAGGAGCGGCCGCCACCTTGGTACCCACTTTGCTATTATTTTTATTACTCCACGTGGATATTTTTAAATTGTTACTCGTGACCATTATAATAAAGTACTACACTATTAAGCACCTTTCTGGCTCCTGTGGCTGAGCTAATTCCTCCCCAGGAACATTTTGGCACCCACCCTGATGGATGGATGGAGCTGGATGACTATCCCATAGCTGCCAGCATACCGCTGCACCCCCAGATGTGTGATATGTATAACCCATGCGCATTAATACTTTTGTTCTGGTGAGTGTACACCCGTCCCAAGGGTGGATTACTTTTTACGAGTTCATGCACTACTGTCCGTCACGGATAAACCACACTGAATATTCGATGAATGAACAAATGTTATTTGAAAATTCTTTTGCTTTTAACATTAGACTTTAAAATGAATGTAGTTTCTGAACAACAACCACATACACTGGTCGAAAATTCGTTTGATCGAGCAAAGTTTTCCTACCTGCCCCTTCTAATTTTCCCGTCACTGCTGTTAAAAATGAACATCGATTTGACCCCACTAACTATAAGAAAATCAAATGAATAGTCTTGAAACGAAATTTCCAGAACAAAAATCTATACATGTATGGCCAGCTTTAAAGCCAGAAGGTTGGAATGTTAAAATGAAAATAGTTTTGAGGCATGTCTGTGATTGTTTGTTTTTTCTACACAATTAAACAATTGAGTGAACATTTTCTAAGAATGGTGATTCCATACTTTTTGCTAGGGTTTGTATATGGCTTTCCAGTGCATCTTTCTAGCCACAGATGTATTTGAGTTTTCATGGTTTTAAGTGACTCAGCACCCAATGAAGCTCCTAAAGAAGCGGTTCTATGGAAACAGGTCGAGCTGGTAATTGAAGGAGAGGTGTTTATGATATTGTAAGCCGGATGGCTCAATAACTTGAACTAGTATATACTATGTCCTACTAGGGGTGCTTTTTATTCAAAATAATTTTCACTGAGTTCAGTGTTTTTAACTGTATTAATAAAGTTGATTTATATTTACTATACATTTTGTCTTTCTGTGCCTATAAAGTCAATATTTTTTGTTAATGTCATTATTGGCCTATAAATAGGATGTGGCACATCTTATAATTACTGGGTCTCTCTAATACCACCAGGCGGTTGCCAATAGTAATCGTGAATACAATGTACTCCTGCGCTTGGGGGTGAACTCGATGTAGCTATGGATCCATATGGGAGATCCTGGATGTTGCACGTCTTGCTGCCCTCAAAGAAACTGGGTAGTCCAGAACACTAGATGCAAAGAGGGCGCACCGGCCTAGTGCATTACCTAAATGACATTGATTGATAAAAGTAGCAGATAGTGATATACTCACAAACGACAATAGTATAAAAGCTCATCATACGAAACAGCAATGTCCAGTCCGCCTGGTTTTGTGTCCCCACAGGAACACTGGACCTCCAATAGTCTAACGCGGTTCGGGGACTTGCCCCTTTTTCAGAGCCTGCGTGCACAGTGCTTGTAACCTCTTATCAATGGTTTGATATCAGGTCTAAGTACTGAAGATGGGCTGTCGCCTCTACGCCCAGAGGTGGGGACAAACCCAATGAGTACCACCCACAAAAATGCATTGAAATGTAGAATGAATGAATAACAATGGATGCCAATACATATACACAAGTCCTTGTAAAAACAGTGGGGTACATATAGAAAACTGTATGAAATCTGTGTGAAAGACACACTGTGGCCATGTAAACATATGCTTGTGTAGGATTAATAAAATAAAATTAAATATGTCACAAATTTGTACCACCTACCATGTATGTGAACGTCCCATGCTGCATCCATGACAACCTCGATGTGCACCACAGTAGGGTTGCCAATAGCACAATTTTTCCAATATACTGTGTAAGATGAATGGACAACCCTCCAAAGTTGATTTCTTATGTTATCACCCATTGTTCCTGACCATATTCCGGGTATGAAGAATAGATGGAGGAATAACATCTATTCCTTTGCAATTCCAGAATGGCCAGGGGGAACATATTCCTGTTGCATTTATTGAAAATTTGTTACTTACTGTTTCTAAATCCAGAACCCTGCATAAGCTATGTCTCCCACAGTACACAGAATATGGAAATGCAGTTATTTTTGTAAATATAAACTGCTAAATCCCTTTTTCTCATCAGCAATATATAACAGTCTTGTGACTTTATCAGTGTCCAGTCAAGCACATTAAAGCTTGTAGGAGGTGTTTTCACTCTTCTATTTTATGTAACCCAATGATATACCACCTCTGAGCCCTCCGCCAACTGAACTAAAACACTCTTCCCTATCCGGGAATGAGACCGTGCCATTTTACTATCTAACTTCATTTATGGCCACCTGCCATTCATACTATGCTTACTCATCCCGTAGCTTATGTTCGATAGACTTTTCGCATAATGCTTAAGTTCAGTTTCTTATAACACCCTATCTGTCTGATCGGATTGTTGCAAGATATATATTGTTAGCGTTACGGTTTCATAACCATTTGAAATATTAATTAAAGAACAGGGCTTTAATTTTCATCATCTTTTTTTC